AAACAAACAAACAAAAAAATAGAAAAACCTGATGGGACCAAAGAAACAGCTATGCAAGTCTGGCTGGCTCAGATCACACTTTTGTGATTTAGGGGTAGTATTTATTTTTCCCACTTTCTCAGGGGCTTTTCATGCTGCTCTTGTTCAGAAGCAAACACACACTTAGCCTAAGAATACAATCTCATTCCACCCCGATTGATGATAAAGTTAATAAAAATTGCCTACAAACTAGTGGATGTATCTTGCTTCACACTGATCATGTACTGGTGTCAGAGTTTTTATGCTTCCGGTATTTCAGACAAAGTTGGGGGCCAGGGATGTAGCTCAGTGGCACTGCACCTGCCTGGCAAGCATAAAGGTCCTGGGTTCGATCCCCGGTACCAAAAAACACCCATCAAAGTTAGGAGGGGGCATTTAGGTGGAATAATCATAGCCTCCCTTCACTCCATCAAGGTATGAAGCTTGCCTCTTTCTCAGATCTGTACAGGAAAAGCCTAAACGTTCTTACATAGTAGTATTATATATAAGGAACTACTTGGCCATTGCTATAAGCAGTACACTGAAGCAACTGAGAAAGCAGATTCTAAAAGTAGACTATCTGAGTTTAAATCCCAGGCCAGCACAAACTTGCCAAATGACTTTGGGAAAAGTTCAATGTCTCAGTTTCCTCATCTATAAAAGAAGGATTCTGTAAGCTGACGTGGTAGCACACACTTGCAATCCCAGCACTTGGGAAGCTGAGGCAGGAGGATCACAAGATCAAGACCAGCCTGGACAACACAGGGAGTTCAAGGCAGCCTGAACTGCATAGCAAGAGAAGGTAATTTGTAAACTGGAATAGTAATGGAATCTATTTCATAGGATTTGGGGAGTGTTAAATGAGTTGATGTAGTATAGTGCTTAGAACAGAGCCTCTTCTATAGTAACAATTGCTAATAGCTATTGAGTACTTTATATGTGCCCAGTACCATGAGAAAGGCTTTATATATATCATCACACACTACATCATGTAGGGAAAAGAAAGTTTTTCCTATGTTCAAAGTGTAAATGAAGCTGACATGCAGACACGATCCAAATAGTTTCTGCAAGTAACACTTACTTTTGTTTTAAAGCCATTCTTAGAGCATCTTTCTGTCCCACAGTGTACTGAGAAATAAAGATGTCATCTGCTGCAAAATTAAGATACAAAAATAAATTTTAGATTCCTGAAAATTTCTTAAATTTTAGTAAGCTACCCCAAAAAAATCCAAATTGTTTTTTACTAAAAGAACATTCAGGGATTTAGTAATAGGATTTCTCAATTTTAAAAAAAGAAAAAAATGCTGGGCATAGTGATGCATGTTTGCAATCCCAGTACTCATGAGGCTGA